ATTGTCTCCTAGAGGCGCGCGGGGGAGTGGGGGGTATGTAATTGTCCCTGGTCACTGGGTGGGGGCTCGAGCCGGTTTTGCATTGCGTTATTGAAACGGAACCCCTAGATACTGAACCCGGCCCTTGTTGCTGCCAACTCAGAGGGGCAGAAGGGTTACATACAGGGACCCCTCACCTGGTGTGGAGACATAGCCAGCTCTGGGGTGGGCGCACAATCTTGGTGCCTTTCCATGGCAGCAGGTCTCCGTTGCACAGATCGGTCCCTAACCCATCTCCTCCCTGCTGCCCAGCGCCCCCTAGTGCTGCCCGCAGGCTGGAGACAGAGAGAACTGGGTCTGCTCCCCGCACCACCCCCCTACAGTCCTGTGGCTGCCTCGGGCTCTCCCCTCCAGGCACGGAGCAGCCTGGCCTGGCAGAGCGTGACTAGGAGGTGCTTGCTGATTCCCAGGGCTCGCAGCGCGGCCTCTCACCAGGGCGTCCATTCCTGGTCAGGGTCCAGGTGATGTTGGGGGGTCTGGGCGAGTCTGTAACACAAACCAGACAGGGGGGATCAGGGGGGCTGGACAGCACTGGGGGGTCGCTAGTGATCACTGAGCCTAGACATGGACCCTCGCTGTGAGCTCAGCTGGGGGACGGGAAAGTCCCTGAAGTGACACAAGACCCGTGGGCGGGGAAGGGAAGCGACAGACCCGACTGAGCCCCACCCAAGAGGCGCCCAACAGAACCCAGGGGCTGGGTTAGGGCTGCGCCAGGAAACCAGAACCGTGGGAAATGGAAACCCAAGGGACCAAAAGCAGTGGGTCTAAATTCGGCCTAATTGGCAGAGGCACTAACGAGGGCCAGGGCTGCTCAGGCCTGGGTACTGGAGCGAACTTCACTATCTTGGTACTACTGTCTGCCGGGCACCCGGGCGTTTAGCGTCCTGCTCCCCAAACATCTCCTCCCCAGGGCGGGACAGAGCCAGAGGTCTAAATAACCCCACTCCCACCCCCACCCCAGACCCAGCCACCACCAGGAACATCAGACACCCCCGTCATGGGTCCTTTGCCTTTCCCCCTCAGTTCATCTCTCCCCAGCCATCTCCTTTCACCATCTGGCTTAGCTGGCCAGGCCTGGATATTTTGCAGCCTGGCTGCGCTCAGAGAGGTGTCTGAAATCAACACGTGGAACAGCCGGACGCTGATACTGGCTGGCCAGGCCTGGCAGGGTCCGTCCACGCTGCACTCAAAGCCCGCGACGCTGAGCCTCAGAGCCTGGGTCTGTTGGGTCGGGCTTGGGGGCTCGGGCTGCGGGTCTTTGATTGCAGCACGGACGTTTCCTCCGAGGTCTGTGTAGACGTTCGGGGTCGGGCTGGGGCCTGGGCTCAGACACGGGCAGGGAACTGGGAGGTGGGTTACTTCTAAATCTCCCTCCAGCTGAGGGAACAAGGACCGTCCTTACACTGATGCCTGATTTAATCCTTCACATCACAAAGGCGGCCGCTGATTTCCCCTCTGGCCTGGATCTGCAGCGTGAGGGTCACAGGCCATTTAATGGTTTTTCCCTGGGGCAGGGCGGGCCGAGGTCTCTGAGCACCGAGCCTGGAGTGTGTTTAATACCAGAGAGTGACTGGGTCCCGTTAACACTCTGCCCCATATAGAGCATCCACCGATCCCGGCAGAAAGGGGAGGGGGTGGAGGAGACGTGGTGGGACAGCCTGGGGGGATCTCAGGGGGAACTGGGGTGGCTGGTGTGAGGGGAAATCCCAACAAGGGGGGTTGGAATGGGGGGATGGATCACAGCACAGGAAGATTCTTGGGGCAGGGCAGGTCAGGGGTAGAGAGGGGAGCCATAAGCAAGGGGGGCAGGAAGAGGTGAAGATCCCAAGGGAGAAGGGGCTGCAAGGTGTGGAGGGAAGGGGCCTGAAGTAGAATTGGCTGAGGGTGCATGGTCGGGGGTGGGGATCCCAGCACAGGGCTGAGTTGGGGGAGGGGCTGGAGAGGCAGGGCTGGAGAGCCCAGGGGTGGGGATCCCAGCATAGGGAGTTTGGGCCGATGTGGAGGGGCTGGCGGGGGGGGGGGACACTCACAGCCGATGTGGAGCTGGACTGTTCTGCGAGTGGAAGGTCCCTGTGCTGAGCTGTAGGTGACGGTGCAGACGAGCTCTTTGCCATCGTCCCCTGGGGTGGGCGTGAATCGGAGAGCAGAGCTGTGGGCCCAGGTGCCATTTGCCAGCTGGGCTGAGACGTTCTGGGCTGTGTCACTGAACGGCCCTGTCCAGGTGACTCGGGGAGGGGGCCCAGAGCAGCGCCCAGGGGCTGTGCAGGTCACATTCACCGGTTCCTGGGCCAGCAGTGTTCCTGGCACCCTCTGCGCTGGCGAGATCTGGATCTCTGGCTCCTCCGTCAGCACTGAGACATGGGGAGAGGGGAGAGAATCACTCAGCAACATGGGGCCTTTCCCCTCTAGGAGCGCGGCCCCGATCTGGCCCCAGGGTGAGGACTGGCTGACTCAGGGGGGCTGATAAGCAGTGACTGCAGCTGCTCTTACCTGGCACGGAAATCTGTAGCGTAGGTTGAGTGCGATAGTATTTGGTGCGGTAATTGTATTTAAAGTCTCCCTCGACTCTAAAGAAATATCTCCCCACATCCGTCCGTCGGGCATCGCTGATTTGCAGGGAGCAGTCGCCGGGCGCCGGATTCTCCGCCAGCCGGAACCGGCCCTGGGTCTCCTGCGATACCCTCCGGTTGGGGTCACTGCTGGCCACGGGCGGATTCTGATCCACATCGGCCGGATCCTTGTACCAGTATCTGTAGAGCTGGGCCCGGGAA